GGATCGGATTCGGGTTTATCAAAAAAACCCTCAATTGATCTGTTTTTTACCCGAAAACTTGAGATTGACCCCAAAAAATAGAGATTGGCCTATTTTTTAACCTTAAAACTAACAATTTTTGGTTGGCATCGGATCATTCGTTTCGTGTCGGTTTGACCCGGATCTGAAGCTGGTCGGGTCCAAAAAACCGACTCGTAAGCAAAAACGGATCCGATTCTAATTGACCCGAATAATGTTGAACCCGAACCCAACTAATGACTCAAAATTGACACCCCTACTTATCTGCCCCTAAGTTTCATTACCTTCTTATTCACATATTAATGCCCACCGAGTCGCCCATTCTTTTCTTTAGACAAAGACAAAATGACCTTTCACTTTCCTCTGGATTTCTGTGATCAGAATTCATCCATCCATCCAACATGTGAAACACTGAGAGTTTTTTAGTACTCCAATAAATAGCAGCAGCGGCACCAAATGTCTAAAAATTTGACCGTTAAACAAATCCTGCCGTGTTGTGGCCGCCCTCATCGGTCTGCAGTTCGGTTCAAAAATCAAGAAAATTCTAGCAAAGTCGTGAAGCATTCACCTTCTTCTCATTTCCCTCCTCCCTCCAACGGCCTTTTCCATTGGCCTTTTCCATTTGTTTTATATTTCGTTTTTCTTGTACATTTCTTTTACAAGGAGCTGGCTATCATTGGAATTTTTATTTGGTCTGGTGAACGTACGTAGAGCTACGTTCGGCTGATACTAAGATCGCATGCACAAAACGAGAAATACCAAGCAAATACCAATAATAACGAGAAATATCATTAGGTGAAGACAAAATACCGAGTAATACCAAGCAATATCGAGCAATACTGAGAAAAACTCAGTATTTTTTGGTAATACTCGGTATTGCTCGGTATTGATCTTCCCAGAGTGGTATTCCTCGTAATTATCAAACAGTACCTAGCAATACCGACCAAATACCGAGCAAAAGTCGAGTAACAATCCTCTGACTAAACGTAGATCTATGTCCGGTCAGTGGACGTAATAAATCACTATCATTGAGAGCAATTTGAGGATTAATTATTCTGTGTTGCTTCTGTTCGGAGATCAATTAAAATGTATCATATCATCTGTGAATTTGATACCGTAACTCGGTATTGTTTTGTATCAATGACGTGGAGCATTTTGGTTGGTCTCAAAACGATGTTCTAAATGAGATCTCCACACAAAATAATTTTATCAATTTAAGAGAGAGAGAGAGAGAGAGAGAGAGAGAGAGAGAGAGAGAGCTAAGGGTTGATGATGTTAGCCAAATTGGATTCTACTTCATGAAATGAATTTGATGTGATGGTTATATTTTGTTAGGCTTCTTCTAATTGCGATTATTCAAATTCTCTAAATTTAGCTAATGTCCTAATTGTTTCTCAATGTGACATTTAGTTTACTCTATCGTTTCAAAATTAAAATATTTTAAATATTTTGAAATATAGATTGATTTAATTTAAACGAGCTGTTTGACATTAATATTGTTGCGGAATAGAATATATGCGGCGAAAGAGTTAGAAAATTTTCGTCTAAGCGTTGTACGGATATCTGGCAGAATGGCAACCTTCGGACAGAAGTCCGGCGGCGCTCTGGCAGAATTCCGGCGGCGGTGATCGAGGAGTTTCTTCCCTCCTAACTTTCTTCTCTTCTCTTCGCCTTCTTCTCTTATTCCTCTTGCTTGGGTCCTATCTCAAGAGAAATGAGGGATCTATTTATAAATTTTCTGGAGTGGCATGACCTGTAAATAGATGAGAGATCATGGGGAAATATGGAGTGATCCGGATGAACGGGCGATATTGAATCCTTCGATCATGGATTGTTTATTAGACATTTGAAGGTCTTAATGACTTCGAAATTCGACGATCTTGGGCTCATTGGATTTGTCTCATCGAGCCGCTCGATTCGACTATAAGCTCGTCATGTTTGGAAACCGTTTGGTAACTCAAATTGATGTTTAAACTTTCTAACGGTGCTTCGGTCCTTGATTTGGACTCATTTGGACTCGGATTGAGTCGAATTTGGTGTCGTTGGGTTCGTATTTCCTAGATGCTCAGTTTGGCTACAAGTTCACTAAAATCGGAGTTCAGGTGATCCCGAATTTAATTTTTGAAGTTTTCAACTTGATTTTGCTTCGAGATTCATGCCCGATCAAGATAATTTTTCGATAATATATCAAATATATATAGTTTTACAGGTTAAGTAGTATGAAGCCAACTATAACTATTTTCTTTAGATTCAAAGTATGTTTATAAACATTCAATATATTCTTTTATTATTTTATAATCATGAAAAGCTAACATTAGGCAGATATATAGATTATCAATAAGGTAATTAATTGAGCAAGATGATTACTCTTATAAAAGAGCTAAGTTATAGTGATCACTTCATCTTTTAATGGATGACAACTACAATGATTTTGTAACAGTTTAAAACCTGTTTTAACTTTTTTTTCTTTTTTTTTTAGGGTTAAAACTATGAGTAAAACTCACTCAAAGATTTTTCTTCTACTATTGAGATATATTTTATAACGCTAGATGAGTAAAGTGGAGAGTTGTATTAGGCAGTCAACAGCCAGCGTAAAACTTAACGAACATTGATAATATGAATCATTTAATATATTGTGTTGTTGTTGTTGTTGTACTACTGATATATTTTATAGCTACCGAAATAATTGATAGTGTGTGTCTCTCCACTACAAAGAAGAAATTATTCTGTGTGGATACTGAACGGTTCATAGACAGCCCAAAACACACCACGTCACTCAGTACATAGCGATACCTAGCAAAAAAATGACGTGACATATTCTGGTTAGTCTCCGAATACCATCCAGGATCCGCACAGAATAATTATTCACCACAATGAGATGAACTTAATAATTACATTTGCCGACTACTACATACACTACACTCTCCTCACCTATTTATTACACATCATGACCTCACTTGAGGACATGTCTTTTCATGTTTTCCTACATAAACTTTCTACTTTTACATAGAGAACTAAAGTTTTCTTTAGTGTAAATTCTTAGTAAAAAAAATAAAATAAAATCAAAATTTCCTCCTAGTGCCATTCCTATTAAGCTCTCCATATAAATCTCCTTTTTAGCTATAAAAGTAGTATTAACATTTGATCCACTCATTGAAATCATGTGAGCAGAGAGAGTTGTGAGGCATGATAGCTACGTATAACAAACAGATTCAATTTTTGAAAATCATGGTGAAGCCAAAGGTGAGCCCAATTAATAAGTCCTCAGCACCCACGACATTTGAGTGTTCCTTTGAAACAACCAACCACTTGTGGCCCTCAGCATTTCCATCCTCATTGTGACCCCGCTCCCACCTCACATAGTTTTATATTCATATACGATTTTTTTTTTTTACGAGAAAATACTGTCTTTAGGCCAATGAAAACCCCGGTCGACATAGCATGCAATTCACACCAATTTACATAGGCCAACACTTAAGGCTTTCACTGCTTGCCAAGGGATTCGAACCAGAGAACTAAGCTTTGCCCAGCCGGCTCTTAACCACCCGAACAAGCAGCGGTGGGTAATATACGAAATAATTTCTATCTTGATCTAAATTTAGCTTATTATATTCTTAGTCAAATTTTGTTATATAAATTACAATAACTCACCTAATTTTAACTCTTTGTTTGTGGATAGCTCTCTTGGTGTGTTGTTTTTCAAATCACAATCACAAACTTTCTATGGTAATTTTAAGAAGTTATTTTCTCTACAACAATTTTACAAGCCATTAAGAAAGTTTATAAAGATGATTATAAAGTTATTAAAAAATAAATTTTTTTAAAGCTGTTGTAGGCATATTATAAATAAATTCTATCTTGTAAAATAAGACAACAAGTTTCTTATGACTACAAATTTAGCTACAAAATCAACTTTCCACCTTTAAAAATATTTAGAAAACGATAATAAAGCAACAACCAAATAAAAATATGATTGCGGTCTAAAAATAACATAGCAAAAAAGTTGTCTCAAATAGGAGAAATTATGATGTGCGGATAACGGACGGTCCGGAGAGCTACCAGAACGCACCACATCACCCAGTACCAAGCAAAAAATTGACGTGATGCGTTCTGGTTGATCTCCGGAAGCCGTCCGACGTCCACACAAAAAATTTTTTTTTCCTCAAACAGACCCTAAGTCGCCATAACGTGCACCAATAGCTCAACTAACAATAGACCAAAACATCTAAAGTTTATCAATCAAGACACCCACAAAACAAACCATAGAACAAAGTTAGGAATGTAAATATAGAACCAGATATGTTCTTCCAGCCATTCATGCATCTAACTTATTTCTAGCACATACTTAATTTTCTAAATTAAGGAAAATAAGACCAAATGAGCTATTGGAAGTTCAACAAATACATCAAATTCAAGTGATAGAAATAGTAAATTGTATTTTAAATTAGAATAAAAAAAAATAATTATATCATATTTCTCCCATGAAGATAAAATCAGAAGATTCAATACAAACAAATGGCACCTACCTCCTTCCACATGTCTTCCATGGCTTATACATTTTTATTTCTGTACAAAAAATAATGGCCAGATAAGCTTCATTTTGATCAATAATTGTTTCTGCAACCATATCATGTGGGTCTGCTTCTGTCTCATGTACCATAAGTCTACAAATGAATACTCATCATTTGTTTTTTTTTTTTTTTATAGAGAAAATTTTTTTTTTTTTTTTTTTTTTATAGAGAAAATCTATTAAGTGCACAAATTTAATCTTAAAATATCACAGTTTAAATTTAATATCTTGATTATATAAAATTAATTTAAAATAAATTCTAATATTATTATTGTGGTATCAAATTTATCTAAATTTAGTTTCTTAATTTTCATTTTAGATTAGTTTTATATAATTGAGAGATTAAATTAGAATAATATTATATTGTAAAACTAAAATGCTTTATGTGAATATACAGAGGATTATTTTGAAATTTAAATATAACATTCAGTTCAATCCAATCACCAAACTTTGAACCCCAGTTTCCTTTGTAAGGTTAACATATCCCTCCCTAATTCTTAATTAACTACTAATCAACAATAATCAAATGGTTGGCTAACCCCGGCCCGCTTCGCTTCCCGATCTCTCCTTTCTCTCTGTTTTGGATTCTGAGCATAAGAAGGCCTGTCCTTGAAGACTCGTTCATCCGTTCTCAGAGCGACTCTCTGTTCCACTACTTTCTCCATTGATGAGCGCGCTCGGGAGAGCACGAAGCAAGGAAGAGGACTTCGAGGCTTAAAAAAGTTTTCTTCTTTTCCTTTCTTCCAGCGAGCGTCTGTTTTCTTCTTTTATCTTAAAAAAGTGGGAAAGCGGTGATGGCCGTGCAAGCTCAATACCCTGCGAACGTTCTGCTTCTCAATAGGTACAGTTTAATTGCCTCCTCCGTCTTGGTATTGGTCGTCGGACCTTTTTTCACTTGTTTCTGGTTTTGGTGCGCAGGGGCGAGACAGAGAGGAAGAGCAAGGAGATGGAAACAAACTTCCCACCTACACTTCTCGAGCAAGCTCCTGTTTTCTTTACCCCTAGTGGAGGTATTGAGCTTTTTCTCTTCTCCCATTTTTTTTACATAGAAGTTGTTTCCTGAGAGGAGGAGAATGGTGCAGGCAATGTGAATCCGAGGAAGAGGGGAAGAGAGGCGGCGATGGCAGTTCCATCGGCGATGTTGTCACCGCAGACGCAGCAGCAGATGAGTCTCTTGTCCTTGCAAGCTCAGGCGAGGGCCTTGACACCGACGATGCTTGGTCTTCCACAGCTCCAATCGTCAACGCCTTCCCTCGTCTCCACAGGCCTCCAACTCAGCTTTAACGATCATAACCAGAGTCAGAACCAGAAAGAACAACTAGTTTCCATCCTCTCCTCCTTCTCCGAAGATTTGGCCACAGAAATTAACCAACAGAAGAACGAAATCGAGCAGTTTCTCAGAACTCAGGTCATACATGAACCATCCTCTTCCCCACGTCATTTAAAAAAGGTAGATTGGTTGCTCATGCGGTTTTGGTATTTATCTTTCTGAGCAGGGGGAGCAACTCCGGCGAGAAATGGCGGCAAAACGGAAAAATCATTACCGTATTCTTCTCGCAACGGTGGAGAAATCGTTGGGGAATAAGCTTCGGGAGAAGGAAGCCGAGGTCGCGGTCGCCGCACGCCGAGCGGCCGAGCTGCAAGATCGACTCAACCGGCTCCGCACAGAGTCCATGGCTTGGCAGGCCAAGGCCATGGCGGAGCAGTCGGCGGCGGCATCTCTACAAGCCCAGCTTCAGCAAGTGGCTTCTGCGGCCGCTATCGCGGCCCCAGCCGGAGAAGAGTGCTACGGCGAGTCGCCAGCCGAGGACGCCGGATCGGCGTTCGTCGACCCGGACCGGTCAAACAAATTGAACCGACTGTGCTGGTCCTGCCACACGCGGCCGGCGTCAGTCGTTCTCCTCCCCTGTCGCCATCTCTGCGTTTGCCCCGCATGCGACTCCGCCGGAGCAGCCAACGATGGCTGCCCCGCATGCGGGTGCACACTGACTGGAAGCCTTGAAGTTTATTTCTCCAAAAACTAATAATAATAAAAAAAAAAAAAAATTGTGGATAAAGAAAGATATGAAATTGAAGTTTTTTGCAATTTCGGATTTTCTAATTTTCACGATTGAGAAAGAGAAAATTCGATTTTAGATGTAAATATATATAGTTATATATAAATTCTTTTATATTGGACTATGTAAATTTGCTTTGATTTTTTTTTTCAGAATTTTTTAAGTAAGAACCCTTCGTAATTGTAATTCTTTTTGTCGTGGCTTTACCGCGAAATACTGTAATGGCTTACAGTGCTAGACAAGCCATCACGTAGGATTCATTAATGACCGTTTGATCGTGAACGTACGTCTGAGAGATGATGGCAGAAAGCTTACCGTTTAGCGATATGTTATCACCGTAATGAGCGGGAAATGGGCCGTATGGGCTAAATCGTTTATATTTGAGTGATTTTCTTTAAAAAAATAGGTTGACTTAATATTAATTCTTTATTTGACCATGTGGAAGATTTAACTAAAAAAATTTAAATAATTTTTCTAATATTATTTAAAAAATATCATAGTATTAAATTTTGAAATATATATAATTCATAAAATCTAACAAATTATTTTCCCTTTGAATTTTATTAGGGGAGTAAGTGGGAGGGATTAATTAGTTCGGGAGTTGAGGTTATCAACTTATGAGTTTGTGTTTGTGCTTGTTTAGGCTCATATCTTATATGAGCTCAAGTTCAAATTTTTCTGACCGAGCTAGTTGACTTGTTGAGCTTAAAGTCTTACATTTTTCACCCGAGATGAGCTCAAGATTAGCAAATATGCTCGAGTTTGAGGCTTGAGCTAAAGTTCAAATCAAATGAGCTTGAGTCGATTATTCAAGCACTTGACTTTTTTACACTCCTAAATTTTGCTCCCTTTGAACTAAATATATGTTGTTAAATATTCAAAATGGCAAGTACAAAATAGGATTTAGATACTTAAAAAAACTTAGTGAATGATATTTATCTTAAATCTAATTAATTTTTTAATTGCAAATTAAACAACCTCTTAATAATTTTGAGTGAATTTCTGAGGCTATTAACGTTTCTCCTATAATTTAAATTTCTCCTTCATGATAGAATTAATTCTTTGAGGTGTGGAGAGGGGAGAATTATTATATGAGATGACTGATGAGTGATGATTGTAGGTTCCTAACAAGTTGTCCAAAGTTGGAGAATTCTCCTACATTGATTGAGAGTAAAAAGAGCCTTAGTTCAATGGAGTTAGATTTAGAAATTAATATGGATATTAAGTTATAAAATCTTTTCAAAATTTATTAAATATAATGATGTATTCACACTTGTAAAATATTAAAATTAAAAAAAATAAAACATTACCTTCGAGCTTTGAGAGGGTGTTTCATACGAGTGATTAATTTCAAATTTGTGTGTGTGTGTGTATATATATATATATATATATATATATATATATATATATATATATTGATGTAAGGATCATTCATGTATATAATGTTTTTATATATAGAGATGTGATTACATCAATAGTTCAAGTGAGAATCATTTTATGGTTCAGAATATCGCTTAACCGTTTGGCAGCTTTTCACATTTGCCTTCTATAGTGGTGTGTGTTCCTCTTTTGCTATTTTAGCATTGTCCGTTAACATACCCTTGCAAACTGATGTCTTAGTTGAGGCTATCAGTTTGTTGGAAAAGTGATTGAAACGGTTGATTGGTAATGATTTGGTGAAAAGATCAACTAGTTGATCCTTGGTAGAGATGTGGTGAACATGAATGCTCTTGTTCTTGATGCACTCTCTGATAAAATGACAATCTACTTCAATGTATTGTGTACGAACATGATTGACAGGGTTGTTTGCCAATGTTATAGCTGATGTATTATCACAAAATAGAGGTGTCAGAGATTGTTGTGGACAGCCAAGATCTTATAGAAGATGATGAAGCCAAATGATGTCGGTCTCAACTGATGCGAGTGCTCGATATGCAACCTCGGTGGATGAGCGAACAATAGTAGATTGTTTCTTGACACTATGAAATGAGTGACGAGACATGAAAGTTATAGTAGCATGTTGTGGATTTTTAATCTTAATGATTGCCGTCCTTATTAGAGTTCGCATATGATTGAAGAGAAAGTGACTTGTTAGACAATGGTAGGCCATAATTTATTAAACCTTTGATATAGTGAAGTATGCATTTGAGAGCTTCAAAGTGATAGCCGGTTGGACGTTGCATGTGTTGACAAGCTTTATTTACCTCAAAGATGATGTTTGGTTGGGTTAGAGTGAGATATTATAGGGAGCTGACGAAATGTCAATATAGTATAGGTTCGGCAAATGCATAGGAGTTAGCTATGGGCTGTAGAGGTTCAATGTGACTAAAGGGCAACTCGTTTGTTGTTAAGCATGACTACACACTCAAGGATGGAATGGGCATAACAGCTTTGGTGTAGTAGTACGCCATTGTGGGTGGGAACGATTGTGATGCCAATGAATGATCATAGGGAGCCTAAGTTGCGCATGTTGAACAATTGGTAAAGGTTGTCGAGTAGGTGTCATAGAGCAGTAGTATCATTGTCTGTGAGAATGATGTCATCTACATAGATGGGGAAATACATTGAGAAGTTTTCTTTGTTGTAGATCAATAGGGAGGGATCTAAGTGACTGGTGTGGAAGAACAAAGAATGGAGAAAGCCTAATAAGGTATCAAACCACTGGCACGGTGCTTTCTTGAGTATGTAGAGGTACTTTTTCAACTTGCAAACTTATGTGGGAGGGATCGCATCGAGGAACCCCATGGGTTATTTCATGTAGATGTCGTTTGTTAGAGGTTCATGTAAGAATGCATTAGAGACATCCAACTGATGGATGGGCCATTTATGGTGAAGATCTACCATGATTAAAATGCAAATTGTAGGTATTTTTGCAACGAGACTAACTGTCTCAGTGTAGTCCAATCTGAATTCTTGTTTGTAGCTCAGGGTGATGAGGCGTGCCATATACCTGGCTATGGAGCCATCCGAATTGAAATTTGTCCTAAACATCCACTTGCATCAAAGTAGATTTTGATTCGATATGAAAGGAAAAGGATCTCATGTGCCTTAGGATTATAGAGCTTGAAATTCTTGGAACATTGCGACTCACCAATTTTCATGTTTTTAGGATTGGGATGATGAGTGAGATTGATTTTTATTTTTTTTTTTTTGAGATGTCCAATTTTTAGGTGAGTCTTCATCTGATGAGTACTAGGGATGGGTGATGCGGTGTGATGTTGAATAAGAGTTGGATCGGTTGGTGTTGTAGTAGGTGATGGGAATTGGTTGGGCTGTGAGGTCATTATCAGATGTATAGGATGATGTGGGAATATAGGTTTCAGTGGGAAGATAAGACTGAAGTGGGTACTAGAAGTAGAGGACAGAGATTGTTTGTTGAGGAAGGATTGGTTGAAGATGTAGATGATTGCTTGTAGGGAAAGATGGTTTCATTAAATATGGCGTGGCTAGAAGTATAGAGTTTTCGGGTGATAGGATCGTGACAATGATATCCTTTTTGAGATGAGGCATATCTAATGAATACACACAAAATGGATAGGAAGGTGAGTTTATAGGTGGAGTAAGGACATAGCCACGAGTAACATAAGCATCCAAACATTTTGAGATGGGTGTACGTAGGTGTTCAGTTGTATAACTTTTTATAGGGGGTTATCTTATGGAGGTTGGGAGTGGGTAGGTGATTGATGAGATAGATAGCTATGTGAAGAGCTTTGACCCATAGGACTTGAGCTATATTTGCTTGAATAAGTAGACTGCAAATGGTTTACAAAATATGCTGGTGTTTGCATTTAGCCACTCCATTTTGAGGAAGCGTGTCTGGGAAAGTATATTGGTGATGGTTGCCTCATGTTTTTCATAGGGTGTGAAATTTATTATTGATGTATTCGCCTTCTCCATTTGTGCGAATGTTTTTTATCATTATATTCAATTGGCATTTTATCATGTTATGAAATTCAATGACTTTGTGAATTACATCAGATTTTTGAATGAGAGGGAAAACCAAATAAATTTTGGAGTAATCGTCAATGAATGATACATAATAGCAATATACTTATATTGAGGTAGTGGGGGAAGGACTAGTTCAAATAGAAATATAGTGGTAGATGCTAACTTAGAGAACAACAACTTTCAACTCTTAGCTAAATGACAAGTGTTAAATGCTTAATAGGTAAGTTGGTATATATGTTAGGATGATGATGGGCGAGGAGTTGAAGTTTGTTGGAGGACGGATGTCCAAGATGATTATGCCAATGATAAGGGGTGGTCTAGAGAGAGAGAGAGAGAGAGAGAGAGAGAGAGAGAGAGAGAGAGAGAGAGAGAGAGAGAGAGAGAGAGAGTAAAGCTAGTGTTGTTGGTGTGGCGGAAGATCAGATGGAGTAGAGTCCATTATGACATGGTCCACGAAGAAGAAGTCGATTGGTCTTCAAATCCTTAATTTGGTAGCCACGGGATGAGAAGGAAAAAATGCAGTCATTCTTAGAAGCCAGTTGATGAACATATAAGAGATTAAATGAGAGATTGGGCACTTGATGGAGTTTGTTAAGATGGAGATTATCTGTTGGTGTGGGAAGTATGTCTTTACCTTTGTGTTTAATTGGTAGCTGTTGGCCATTGCCTATCACAACTTGGGTATTGCCAAAATACAGTTTGGTGTCGTCGAGGTAGGATGGATCAACAGTGAGATGCATCGATGCTTCATTGTTTAAATACTAATCAGACTAGCGGGTTCTTCAGTTGTGCTGAAGAGTGTTGGTTTCTGGGGGGGGTGGGGGGGGGGGGGGGGGGGGGGGGGGTATCTTGGTAGGGGGTATAATTGGGGAGTGGTTTAGAGGATAGATGGAGGATCCATCAAGGAACCCTTTGAACCCATTCACACAAAACACCTTCATGACTTACGACCTCCATATAAGATAATTATCAGAGGTTAATGGTGTGGAGACCAAGTTCTTGATATTACTCATCAATAATTTGAGCTATGGTGGAATAGTAATGGGGTTGAGGGGGGACACTGAGTAACCAGTTGGAGGTGAAGTAGATGATTCATCCATTGGGTGATGTTAAAGGTAAAAAAGACGTGATAAAGAGACTTTGAGTAAAAACAAAAATTCAGTTATTAAGGTTGTT